CTGACCACAGCTTGAAAACAAAACCAATCTTGTTCTGTGTCTTGGCAACACATAAGGTCAAGGGTTCATGGAGAAAGGGCATGGGATGGAAGAAGCCCAAAGAGCACCAGAGGACTGGAAGCCCTTTGCTGCCAGGCGCGCTGCCCTCCCTCGGCACACACGCCCAGCTGGAGGGAGCCTCCTTTGGTAAAACAGAATTAACATCAAATTTCATACGTCTTCACTAGAGACACACAAGAAACAAGGTCATATTTCAGACAAACACACTTATTTAAAAAAAAATACTGCTTGTGTTGATTTGCAAACTATATTTTGTTGAAGGCAGCATACAGAGAGGACACTGCTTGGAGAGCATCCTTCTGCCTGAGGGAGAAGATATAATCCACGCCTCTGCACACAGGGCTTTCCTGGAGCTCAGCCTCATAGCAGAGTCCAGGGCAGTGACCCGCAGCCATTACAAACGGCAGCTGCTGGACGCGCACACAAACAAAGAAAATCCCCCGTCGCTGCCCCAGGACGCGGCTCCCTTGCTAGCACCAGGTCATCCTGTTCTCCAGGAGGAAAGTCCTGGAGCTGGGATCTGCTCACACCGAGGAAGTAGCGCAGGACATGCTTCCAGCGATGACTAACGGCTGGGCAGAATTGTCTGGATCCAACAGGTCACTCGGGGAAACAGGAGAGAGATCCAAGAGCCATGTCACTGAGCACTTGCTTTGGGCCAAACTAAAAATAGACCTAATAAAGCTTTACTGGAGCTGCTTTCTTTACTGCAGAAAAAATAAACTATTCAGTTTTTCCTATCAAGAGAGAAGCCACCCTCGAAGACTTCTCTGGGCATGGCCGAGGTGAGTTTGCTCTCGGCAGAGCCACCAAACTGACCCAACAGTGAGATCTCCCTGAGAGGAGCCACCCCACGCTGAACAGCTCCTCATCGTCACCAGCTCCTGTCTGTTCCTGTCTTGCAGAAGCCTGAGCATTTATTTTTGTCTGACTATAAGGTATGAGAGCCTTTAAAATCTGCATTTATGAAGACTTTAAGGCCTGACAAAACCATTGCAAACCTCTTACCTACCCTTCCTGCCTAGTAAAGCCCAGACCACCTCACCCACGAACCCTGCACTGCTGCAAGGCTGCCAGCCATCACCAACAACATCTGCTATAGAGAATCCACTGCTTCTGTGGGTCTTGCAGTTAAAAATATCCAGCTTGGTAGGTGTAGTTGGGCAAACCCAACCTGAAGCCCTCCTGCTGCCAGAAGTCTTCCACACACCAGCTTCCAGACCACCGCGAGGTCGTTAATGAACATTTCGGCATCTCAGGCAAGCTAAACAGACAAATCATCCTTAACCCTGCCAAGGCACGTACCCGCACTGCTGCAAAACCTCCGTCCGCTCCTCTCACGATGGGGCGGAGCTGCATCAGTGTGACAGAACCCCTGCCCTGTGTCTGTGCAAGAAGTTACCTCTTAGGAGAGGACATACACTTGCACGGAGATACTGCTGACACCACATACGCTGACATGGCAGCTACCCCCACCAGTATGGTCACAGCTACCACCAGCAAGATTCAGGCACCACTTCCTAACCACGAGGACCAGGTGGACACCAGCAGAAAGCTGGGCCTGTACTGCGTGCCTCCTGCAGAGGAGGGGTACTCAAGGGTCCGATCTCAGCCAACAAACAGATGTCAGTTGATATCAGTGGCTGAAGCGAGGTGTAAAAGTGGGAATTCAGCCCATAAATTCACGCAGTAGAAACCCTTACACACAAGAATAAAATGCTGCTACGCTGCAGATGAAAGTTGTTTTCAGCAAAACTTTATTCTAACTCCTGACGAAGTTGTTCCGCTGCCAAACCACCTCAGCAGCTGGTAGCTCACCAAAACCTTCCGTCACTACACGAGGATTTCCACCTCTTCCAAGGAGAGCTGCACCAGCCTGCAGACAGCCAGGAAAGGAACCCTTGTCCTGCCCTGGGTACAGCCCCCATATGGGGTAGAGGACCATCCACTCTCCCTAAAACTGTTCCTAATGGAAAGGAAAATGACCGTCCTCCTTGGCTATGGGAAATTCTACCTGCATGAAGGGTATTCTTGTTTTTCTTTTTTTCTTTCTTTCCTAATGCTGAAGCCACATCATCCCTATGGCATGGGCTGAGCTCAGGGGAACCTGCTTCGGCTGGGTGGCTCAGACACCACTGTGATGAACAATGAGGAACCAACGAGGCTTTGCTCCATTTACAGCAGCACTCCTTTCCCACTGCCCAGGCTTCCAGTTAGAAACTACGTGTTTTCCAAGAGAAGTATAAACAGTAAATGATAGCTCTTTATAGCAGGAAATGCCTTTTTAATCTGAAGTGGAAAATTGTATACACTTATTGAAATCTATTTCAGATAACACTAGCCATTTGTGAGCCTTATAAGGAGCACTCATTTTGCTTGGATAATTTGCGATTTGTATTAGGAACCTTTAGCTACAGAATTAATTCCAATGGAAAGCAAAAAAACCCCAAGCCTTTGTTTTGCTTTGAAATATTCTAAAAAAGTGAATTTGGCAGGACCTTCAAATGTATATTCATTGAATATATGCTTAGGAAAATTATAGGTGGATGTTAATGAAGTGGAAGGCTTTGCCCAAAGGAGATTTCGATCCCAGTGCTAGTCTTGCTTGAGTCGCTAAAACCTCCATTGGGTTGAAGGATCCGACCCAGCTCACAGCCTGGACAAGCCTCGCAAGGCATGAGTGATAACCCACACAAATAAATGAACTGAACCCATTTTTTTGTGTCAGTGATCTTTTAAAAATAATTTCATTTTACTGTTTTTAAAAATGCAGAACAACTACACAGACCATGGGGACGCACCAAGAACTGAGCCTAAGGGCACATCTGCTCCGGGACCAGCTGCAAGCTGCCTGCAGAAGAGCCAAGCAAAGCTGACACAAGAGCACGTCAAACAGAAGACCACCTACCTGTTCACGGAGAGCAGTAGCTGGTCCATGCATGCTTTGATCTTGTTTTGTGCTTCTAGGTGTGTCATGTTCTCCGTGCTCTCTCCATTAATTGCCAGAATAATATCTCCTGGGCACAGGTTTGCCATGGCTGCTTTACTGCCAGGGTTAATCTAGGCAGGGAAAAATAAAAGGGTTACTTAAAAGAACACTCGTTTTTAAAAAAAAAGTCCAGTTTCTTGGAGTAAGCAGCAGATAAAAGGAATAGTTCTTTCTGGAGAAGATGTGTTTTGCCTACACCAACGGCATCTACCGGAGGTTGGATGACAGAGCCATGGCTCTCGGGTCAGCCCCAGTTCTCTGAGGGCCATCCTCTACAACAACGTTCTTTTAAATAAGAGATTTCTGTCAACCCCAGTCAGTGTGTGACCAGGTCCTCTCTTTGGCTTTGTCTCTTGCTTGAAATAATGCAATACCCTCTTTCCAGAGAGATGCTTTAGACTCCCTTGGCTTGCAGGCCTTAAATCATGCTGCGAGAGCCAATCCCTAAAGAGCACATGCAGCCCTCCTCTTTGGCTAACTACGTAATTAGAAGATGAGCGCAGTCACCCTAATTGCTTCCTGTGCAGAGGTTACATTTGACATCAGTTTTTCCTGACCGTCATTCAAATGATTTGTCTCTTTCTAGCCCTGCATGGAATATCACGCAGCTCGTTAAGTCTCCACAACTCTTTCCTTCTGGTTTTATAGGAATGCCAGAACCTTATAAAACTCATAACTTCTTTCCTGAGGAACTAACGACAGATCCAGGTACTGTTTGTGGTCAGCCATAAGACCAATCCTACAGCCCATAAAAGAGTTTCTTGAGAAATCACCATTTCATTTACATCAACCCAAATGTGGTTTTAATTTTTGCAATACTATAAAATGATGCAAGGCATAGGCAGGACAGGTAAATGTGTCCGTTTAAACTCTTAATAGCTACATGCTTGCTCTCTAATTTCCTCTTCAGTCATTCAGAGCATCTGCTAATGCTCTGCTAACCAACCATGTGGTTTATCAAGTGAGAAAGTACAGTGAGTCTGACTTTTGGTTATTCATATCTCACTGCATGTAGAGTGCGATGGTGCTTTGATTCTGTTTAGTCTTGATTTACACGGGTATAATCCTCTGTCTCAGGCGATGGGTCTCTGCTCCATCACCCCCTGCTCGGAAGACCCAGGCAACAGGATCACTGCTCTATCCTCCATCTCCCCTTGGACATAGCTTACCTCGGTGCGTGGGGGCAACCAGACGCTAACAAAACAGGTATGGTTTTTCAGACAGTTTGAGACCAAGTGCTGGCCACCTGCTCCAAGGTGCCCACACAAGCCCCCTGACCACCGCAGGCCATCATTAAACAGGCAGTCTTTTAGAAAGGGAGGCATGCATGCCTCCCTGTTTTCATCTTCTGTTCTTTTCCAGTTCTGTTTTCATAGGGAATTTGAAGAGGGTTTAGCCCTAACACCAAAGCCCTTTGTGGGATGTGCTGGGGCTGCTCACAGGACTGAGGCTGGTACAACAGCCAGCAAGAGGCAGACAGCACCCAGTGTAACACAGACCCACCGCACCGCTCCCTGTACGACTACAGCCACCTATGCCACCGAAACATGAACCCAAAGGTGTCTGAGGAGCTCCAAACCACTTTTTGCATTTAAGTAGAACTGGCAGCCTGAATTAAGCCTTTTGTTGCGTTGTCAGAGTAAATCAGCATTTGCCATTTGCTCTTCAATGGTTTCAGCCCAGCTATTTTGCTCCAGAAAACCTGCTGGGCCAACTCCTTCCTTGCTCGCAGGCTCCCCTGTGACTCAGCTCAGAGCAAACAACAGGAGGTATTTCTGAACACAGCACACATTAGCTGTAAAGCTCTGACACAGGACATGTCAACCCAGGATAGGTTTATTTTTTCCCTGGCATGCATTTGTCCTGTTGTTTTATTGAACCCAGGTAAGACGACATGGCATTCACAGAGCATTAGGCTCCTTCTACAGCCATGGAAGCTGCCAGACCCACCAGAAAGTCAACCAGAAGCTCAACCAGCACCTCCAAGGAAGCATCTCCACGCACTTGCCTGTTGTTATCCGCTTCCCTCAGTGTCTGCCCCGCAGCCCCGGCTGCCAGCAGGCTTTTGGACTAAGACCTTCAGTTTGACCCAGGACAGCTGTATTTTGTTCTTGTCTATTCAATGCTGTCTAGATGTCTGATGGATTTTTCTCCCCGCACTGATCTTAACCAGATTGTAGCTTCCTTGGAGAATAAGCTGCTCATAAACGGGGCTCTTAGCTGTTTCCTATTTTTAGATTCTGGTTTATTTCAAATTATTTTGGCAGTATCTTCATATTAGCATTTTATGCTAGCCATGGAGATGACTGAGGGCTTGAAATGGAGCTGCATTCCAAGAACTCATTAGTTTGAGATACCGCATCGGTGTCACAGCAGCTTGGGAATCAGTATTGTAATGTCTGTCAGGTCCAAAGTTTGCATTTTAGTGAATAATGTTTAAAATACTTCAAACCAAGTTCTCCTAACTCACAGCTGTGCAAAGCCATTAACACCAAACATGCCACAGAAAGCCCTACGAGCCCGGCTATGGGTCAGGGCTGCGTTTGAATCCTCCTGCAAGGGTCCCACCTGCTTTGCTCCATGTGGATCCATGCAGACAGCCTACTGCAAGACTAGGATCTCCATAGGGACAAGGACGTAATTTTAAGGATAGTAATTTTTGTAATAGAGTCTATGCTTGGAGTGAAGCATCCAAGAAAGATGACCCTCTACGGTCACGTGGAAACGAACAAACACGCAAGGAAGGAGCAGGAGGGATCAAGCAGCCAGCACCCACAGCCAGCAGCAATCGGCTCAACCCAGAATGCTTCTTAACCAGCCTCTTTCCTTACAAAGGCCAGCTACTGCCCAGCGAGCTGCTGAGCACCTACTATTATAAACAAGTACACACAAAAACCAAGTGTTTTTCTGTTCAAGTGATAAACCTCATTTTGCATATTAGTCCACTCTCCAGGGCTATGGCTAAGTGATGTAACTACAGACGTATGTATTGCCTGTGGGTGTAAGGTTTCTCCAGGGCAGTGACATTAAAGCCCAGCAGCGCAGGGAGGTTTTGGGATGGAGCTTTAACCAGAGGCACTCACTCGTGCCTCCCTCCAGAGGGGCCTCGGGTCTGCCATGAGCAGGAACCACAGCGCGTGCAACGTGAACAAAGCGTGCACGACATAAATGGACCATGCACAAATTCAAGAGTAATAGGATATCTTATGAAGTTAAAAACACTGCAAAGAAAACACACGCCGACTCACTGATGGGCTCAGTTCTCAAAAGGGCCCTCCAAAGGAACTGAGGTTTGAGAATAGGATAGGCTTAAGAAAAACAGTGATAAGATTTTTAAGTTTTCCATCAGTGCTAAAACAAACTGCTTTAAAATCAAGGTAGAATGAACACGGACTAAGACAAGATCAATGGATATGTAACTTGAGGTGGTGTAAGCAGTCTCCCCGGGACTAGGACAGGTTGTGTCTCCCTACCACACGCTGCCTTTCTACAGGCAGTGCCAAGTACCCTAAAGCCGAGCCCCAGCTCATGCACTGGGGCCGAACGCGGGCTCCATCCCACACCACCTGCTGTACCCTGCATGTGCCATGCCTCATCTTGCCCATGCTGGGCGCCTGCCAGGATTTGGGCTGTTTGTCTGCTTTTCTCCAGGGAAGAGCTCAAGCAGAGCAATTGCATACTAGCACAGAGCCGGCCCAGTCCCTCACACCCTGCTAACCCCCGGGGCTGCAGGGCCAGACACGGGTGCTGGTATTTCAGGGCCGGAGCAAGGTGCTGGTGGAGAATTATGCAGGTGGACGGGCCGGTCTGAGCCCTTGCGCTGTTGGCAGCTCACGGGGTCTCACTCCCCGTAAGGCCACGTGGCTCCCAAAGGGCTCCGCTTGTGCCGTGGAGTGACAGCAACCTCAATGCACGTTCAGAGCAGTCAAGTGTATGGCACTGAGAGCCAAACCCACAGCAAACACCACAGGCTTAAAGAAACATAAATATTTTTATTAAAGTTCCCTTAAAGGTTTTTCTTTTTCAACTAGACAAGAATCCAGCCTCATTTGGAAGCTCTGAGCTCCCAAAGCAAGAACATTATACAGCAGTGACCCAAGCACTGATGTGAACTCCAGACCACCAGTTAACTTACGCTGCTAGTTATTGTTGCCCTGCACTTAAAGATATTTTCCCACCAGCATAAATTTAAAACCAACCGACGGACACTTGGGGTGAAGTTGCACAAGACAGCTTAGTCTACCCCACAGCTTGCCCATGAGAGGGGAGAGGACCTTCTCTCTGCACCTTCCCACTCCCATACGCCATCCAGCCTCTTCCCTCATGCCAGCCCTGGTGCTCAGCAGGTTTTTAAGCACAGCCTGGGATGCAATCCAGCAGAGCTGAATGATTTTCTGAGAGTGAATCAAAGCAACTCTGACACATGGGTCCAGTGCACTGGATCCATCATCTGGGACCAGGGGAGGGATGGAGTTAGCTGGTGGTGAGCTCTTCATGAGATGATTAAGCAGATCCCACACAGCGCTATACGTGGAATACCCACTACCCATCACCTCATCACTTCTGCATCTTCAGCAGG